ACTGCCTCCCAAAAAGCATGTCGTAAGAGTCGACTAATTGGGGAGCTTCCTTTGAAGTCGGAGTGCATCTGCCTGAGAGGCAAGGAACCAAAAGTCTGTATTCAAGAGAATGAGATCTGTAAAACTGATGCACACGCAACACTCATGTTCTGGAGCAGGACTGCAGTTCAGTAGTGGACGAGCAACCAGAACCTTCCGCCAGAGTTTACAGCTGGTGAACGCGAAGAAGAAGAAGAGGTAAAGTTTAAAACAATACCGTCCTCTTGGTCTGAGGTCGAAGAAGTTCTGAAAAAAAAAAAAACAGCGGCAAATCTGCCCTAGTACCCAATGGCGTCCCGTACGCGCTGTAAAAACGTTGTACAAAAGTGCTCTGAACGCTTCACTGCCTGCTGTGGCTAGCGTGGAGCTGAAAGTATATATGTGGCACTAAGCCAAGAGAGTACATTCCCAAGGGGCCAGTCTATCCCAACTCAGGTCCATTTCGCTGAGGACAAAATATTCTTCTCAGTGATAGTGTGCAGGCTCACACAGTATCTACAGATACATCGAAACAAAGGTTCAGACAGGCGGCGTCCCGGTAACCTCGGGTGTCTAGAGCCCGCGACCATGATCTGGGAGTCTGTTGTGTGCTAAATATGGGTTAGCAGCTAGCAAGTATGTGGTCGAGTGTCTAGGGTATTATTTGCGCTCGAAGACTGTAACCAAACTGTTGTACACAACACACGAGCATAATGTCAGGAAAACTCAACAACCGTTGTCCGTCATTCATTTATTCACAAGAACAGTCGGGTATACCAACAACAAAATAAATGGTATAAAACAGCATTATGTATATCCTTACGCTGGCTAACATAGTACATGTAATTTCGCTACATACTCCCCAAAACAGTCCTAGCGGCGCTCCATAATACAGCTTACATCTCGTGCCTAGCGGCGCTCCATAATACAGCTTACAGCTCGTTCCTAGCGGCGCTCCATAATACAGCTTACAGCTCGTTCCTAGCGGCGATCCGTAATACAGCTTACAGCTCGTTCCTAGCGGCGCTCCATAATACAGCTTACATCTCGTGCTTAGCGGCGCTCCATAATACAGCTTACAGCTCGTGCCTAGCGGCGCTCCATATTACAGCTTACAGCTCGTTCCTAGCGGCGCTCCATAATACAGCTCGTTCCTAGCGGCGCTCCATAATACAGCTTACAGCTCGTTCCTAGCGGCACTCCATAATACAGCTTACAGCTCGTTCCTAGCGGCGCTCCATAATACAGCTTACAGCTCGTTCCTAGCGGCGCTCCATAATACAGCTTACAGCTCGTTCCTAGCGGCGATCCATAATACAGCTTACAGCTCGTTCCTAGCGGCGATCCATAATACAGCTTACAGCTCGTTCCTAGCGGCGATCCATAATACAGCTTACAGCTCGTTCCTAGCGGCGATCCATAATACAGCTTTCAGCTCGTTCCTAGCGGCGATCCATAATACAGCTTACAGCTCGTTTCTAGCGGCGATCCATAATACAGCTTACAGCTCGTTCCTAGCAGCGATCCATAATACAGCTTACAGCTCGTTCCTAGCGGCGATCCATAATACAGCTTACAGCTCGTTCCTAGCGGCGATCCATAATACAGCTTACAGCTCGTTCCTAGCGGCGATCCATAATACAGCTTACAGCTCGTTCCTAGCGGCGATCCATAATACAGCTTATTCCTAGCGGCGATCCATAATACAGCTTATTCCTAGCGGCGATCCATAATACAGCTTATTCCTAGCGGCGATCCATAATACAGCTTACAGCTCGTTCCTAGCGGCGATCCATAATACAGCTTACAGCTCGTTCCTAGCGGCGATCCATAATACAGCTTACAGCTCGTTCCTAGCGGCGATCCATAATACAGCTTACAGCTCGTTCCTAGCGGCGATCCATAATACAGCTTACAGCTCGTTCCTAGCGGCGATCCATAATACAGCTTATTCCTAGCGGCGATCCATAATACAGCTTAGCTCGTTCCTAGCGGCGATCCATAATACAGCTTATTCCTAGCGGCGATCCATAATACAGTTTATTTCCTAGCGGCGATCCATAATACAGCTTATTCCTAGCGGCGATCCATAATACAGCTTACAGCTCGTTCCTAGCGGCACTCCATATTACAGCTTACAGCTCGTTCCTAGCGGCGATCCATAATACAGCTTATTCCTAGCGGCGATCCATAATACAGCTTACAGCTCGTTTCTAGCGGCGATCCATAATACAGCTTACAGCTCGTTCCTAGCGGCGATCCATAATACAGCTTATTCCTAGCGGCGATCCATAATACAGCTTATTCCTAGCGGCGATCCATAATACAGCTTACAGCTCGTTCCTAGCGGCGATCCATAATACAGCTTACAGCTCGTTCCTAGCGGCGATCCATAATACAGCTTACAGCTCGTTCCTAGCGGCGATCCATAATACAGCTTATTCCTAGCGGCAATCCATAATACAGCTTATTCCTAGCGGCGATCCATAATACAGCTTATTCCTAGCGGCGATCCATAATACAGTTTATTCCTAGCGGCGATCCATAATACAGCTTATTCCTAGCGGCGATCCATAATACAGCTTACAGCTCGTTCCTAGCGGCACTCCATATTACAGCTTACAGCTCGTTCCTAGCGGCGATCCATAATACAGCTTATTCCTAGCGGCGATCCATAATACAGCTTACAGCTCGTTTTCTAGCGGCGATCCATAATACAGCTTACAGCTCGTTCCTAGCGGCGATCCATAATACAGCTTATTCCTAGCGGCGATCCATAATACAGCTTACAGCTCGCAGTCGATCAATTTCTTCAGCTCACCGCTTCAGTGTCTCGTTGGCTGGGCTAACCCTTAGAGCTAGATGTCAGAATGAACAGGCTCCATCCCTATCTGCATCGGAGTATCTCCTTATACACAACACAAGGGACGTAACTTTCCCTTAAGCCTGCTACTGAAGTCAACGCGCCACGAAGTCAAGGTATGAATCCCATACTTGTTGCCAGTATGTACAACTGTTAGCTGTTATGAGATGTACAATTGGTCATTTTTTACTAGATGTACACCTGATGGTTATTATTAGATGTACATCTGGTCATATTTTACTAGATGTACAACTGGTCATTTTTTACTAGATGTACACCTGATGGTTATTTTTAGATGTACAACTAGTCATATTTTACTAGATGTACAACTGGTCATATTTTACTAGATGTATAACTGCTCAAATTTTACTAGACTGATGGTTGTTATTAGATGTACAACTGGTCTTATTTTACTAGATGCACAACTTATGGTACTTATTACATTTACAGCTAGTTTATTTTATTAGCTGAACAACTGATGATTGTTATAAGATGTAAAACTGATGATTGTTATAAGATGTAAAACTGATGATTGTTATAAGATGTAAAACTGATGATTGTTATAAGATGTAAAACTGATGATTGTTATAAGATGTAAAAAGATGATAACTGATGTTGTTTGTTATAAGTTATAAGATGTAAAACTGATGATTGTTATAAGATGTAAAACTGATAGTTGTTATGTAAAACTGATGATTGTTATAAGTTGTTATAAGATGTAAAACTGATGATTGATGATGTGTGATGGTTGTTATTAGATGTAAAAACTGATGATTGTGATTGTATATAAGATGTAAAAACTGATGATTGTTATAAGATGTAAAACTGATGATTGTTATAAGATGTAAAACTGATGATGGTTGTTTGTTATAAGATGTAAAACTGATGATTGTTATAAGATGTAAAACTGATGATTGTTATAAGATGTAAAACTGATGATTGTTATAAGATGTAAAACTGATGATTGTTATAAGATGTAAAACTGATGAGTTGTTATAAGATGTAAAACTGATGATTGTTATAAGATGTAAAACTGATAGTTGTTATAAGATGTAAAACTGATGATTGTTATAAGATGTAAAACTGATAGTTGTTATAAGATGTAAAACTGATGATTGTTATAAGATGTAAAACTGATGGTTGTTATAAGATGTAAAACTGATGATTGTTATAAGATGTAAAACTGATGGTTGTTATAAGATGTAAAACTGATGGTTGTTATAAGATGTAAAACTGATAGTTGTTATAAGATGTAAAACTGATGGTTGTTATAAGATGTAAAACTGATGGTTGTTATAAGATGTAAAAAACTATAAGATGTAAAACTGAAATGATAAGATGTTGATATATAGATGTAAAACTGATGGTTTGTTATAAGATGTAAAACTGATGGTTGTTGATGTAAGATGATGTAAAAGCTATGTTGTTATTAGATGTAAAAATGATTGTTATAAGATGTAAAACTGATGTTATTGTTATTTTCTTTTAAGATGTCTAGATACTGACTGTGGCTAGATGATTGTGACAGATGCTTGTGACTAAATGACCCTGACTAGATTCATGTGACTAAATGACCCTGACTAGATGTATGTGACTAAATGACCCTGACTAGATGGCTGTGACTAGATGACCGTGACTAGATTACTGACACTGAATGACTGTGACTAGATGACCGTGACTAGATTACTGACACTGAATGACTGTGACTAGATGACCGTGACTAGATTACTGACACTGAATGACTGTGACTAGATGACCGTGACTAGATTACTGACACTGAATGACTGTGACTAGATGACCGTGACTAGATTACTGACACTGAATGACTGTCACTAGATGACCATGACTAGATTACTGTGACTGGATTGCTGTGACTAGATGACCATGACTAGATTACTGTGACTGGATTGCTGTGACTAGATGACCATTACTGTGACTGGATGACTATGACTAGATGATCGTGTCTAGATGACCATGACTAAATTTCTGTGACTAAATGACCATGACTATATGACTGTCACTATATAACTGTGACTATACAACTGTGACTAGATTACTGTGACTTGATGACTGAAACATGATGACTGTGAATAGATGAATGTAACTAGATGACTGTGTGTCAGTGGACAAGTCCATGGCTGGCATGGAACAGCTCCTCCTGCACCCGTCTGACAGCTGATGAAGACACTCGACCTGGCAGATGCCGCACAAACAGCTCGGCTAGGCCTGGCACGTCTTCTCTGTCAAATCCATCAGCGAACCTGTCAAAGAGCACACCAGCATCATCGTCATCACTAACAGTAAATTACACATCATTATCAGTCTCAGCACCATTGGTCTCAACATCAGTAACTTACACATCATTATCAGTCTCAGCACCATTGGTCTCAACATCAGTAACTTACACATCATTATCAGTCTCAGCACCATTGGTCTCAACATCAGTAACCTACACATAATCGATTTCAACATTAGTGAACTAAAAACCACTGATTTCAACACCAGTCGCTTAAACATCATTAATCTTAACGTTTATGACTAACACATCATTGACCTCAACATCAGTGACTCACACACCATTGACCTCAACATAAGTAACTCACACATTGATCTCCCAATCTATCACCAGTGCCTTACACAGCTCCCATTCTGTCAAAATGACTTAGACTACCCCCACTCTAACATTTGTAACTTAAAAAGCCTCACTCTAACACCAGTGACTTACATAGTTCCTACATGAACACCAGTGACTTACATCGTTCCTACTTTAACACCAGTGACTTACATAGCCCGTACTTTAACACCAGTGACTTACATAGGTACGTATGTACAACCACATTGTGACTAGATTTAACACCAGTGACTTACATCGTTCCTACTTTAACACCAGTGACTTACATAGTTCATACTTTAACATCAGTGACTTACATAGTTCCTACATGAACACCAGTGACTTACATAGTTCCTACTTTATCACCAGTGACTTACATAGTTCCTACTTTAACACCAGTGACTTACATAGACCCTTCTCTAACACAATTAGCTAACACAGCCCTCACTCTTTTCCCAGTGACTTACATAGCCCGTTCTTTAACACCAGTGACTTACATAGCCCGTACTTTAACACCAGTGACTTACATAGCCCGTACTTTAACACCAGTGACTTACATAGCCCGTACTCTAACACCAGTGACTCACATAGCCCGTACTTTAACACCAGTGACTTACATAGCCCGTACTTTAACACCAGTGACTGACATAGCCTGTACTTTAACACCAGTGACTTACATAGCCCGTACTCTAACACCAGTGACTTACATAGCCCGTACTCTAACACCAGTGACTGACATAGCCCGTACTTTAACACCAGTGACTTACATAGCCCGTACTTTAACACCAGTGACTTACATAGTTCCTACATGAACACCAGTGACTTAAATCGTTCCTACTTTAACACCAGTGACTTACATAGCCCGTACTTCAACACCAGTGACTTAAATCGTTCCTACTTTAACACCGTTGACTTACATAGCCCGTACTTTAACACCAGTGACTTAAATCGTTCCTACTTTAACACCAGTGACTTACATAGCCCGTACTTTAACACCAGTGACTTACATAGCCCGTACTTTAACACCAGTGACTTACATCGTTCCTACTTTAACACCAGTGACTTACATAGTTCATACTTTAACATCAGTGACTTACATAGACCCTTCTCTAACACAATTAGCTAACACAGCCCTCACTCTTTCCCCAGTGACTTACATTGCCCGTTCTTTAACACCAGTGACTTACATAGCCCGTACTTTAACACCAGTGACTTACATAGCCCGTACTTTAACACCAGTGACTTACATAGCCCGTACTCTAACACCAGTGACTCACATAGCCCGTACTTTAACACCAGTGACTTACATAGCCCGTACTTTAACACCAGTGACTGACATAGCCTGTACTTCAACACCAGTGACTTACATAGCCCGTACTCTAACACCAGTGACTTACATAGCCCGTACTCTAACACCAGTGACTGACATAGCCCGTACTTTAACACCAGTGACTTACATAGCCCGTACTTTAACACCAGTGACTTACATAGTTCCTACATGAACACCAGTGACTTAAATCGTTCCTACTTTAACACCAGTGACTTACATAGCCCGTACTTCAACACCAGTGACTTAAATCGTTTCTACTTTAACACCAGTGACTTACATAGCCCGTACTTTAACACCAGTGACTTAAATCGTTCCTACTTTAACACCAGTGACTTACATAGCCCGTACTTTAACACCAGTGACTTACATAGCCCGTACTTTAACACCAGTGACTTACATAGCCCGTACTCTAACACCAGTGACTTACATAGCCCGTACTCTAACACCAGTGACTTACATAGCCCGTACTCTAACACCAGTGACTTACATAGCCCGTACTCTAACACCAGTGACTTACATAGCCCGTACTCTAACACCAGTGACTTACATAGCCCGTACCCTAACACCAGTGACTTACATAGCCCGTACTCTAACACCAGTGACTTACATAGCCCGTACTCTAACATCAGTGACTTACATAGCCCGTACTCTAACACCAGTGACTTACATAGCCCGTACTCTAACACCAGTGACTTACATAGCCCGTACTCTAACACCAGTGACTTACATAGCCCGTACTCTAACATCAGTGACTTACATAGTCCGTACTCTAACACCAGTGACTTACATAGCCCGTACTCTAACATCAGTGACTTACATAGCCCGTACTCTAACATCAGTGACTTACATAGCCCGTACTCTAACACCAGTGACTTACATAGCCCGTACTCTAACACCAGTGACTTACATAGCCCGTACTCTAACACCAGTGACTTACATAGCCCGTACTTTAACACCAGTGACTTACATAGCCCGTACTCTAACACCAGTGACTCACATAGCCCGTACTTTAACACCAGTGACCTAAATAACCCCAATTCGAAAATAAGTGACTTACACTTCCCTATTCAATGTGGAGTTCCCGGAAACGAAAGAGCTGATAAATTAGCTAAGGAAGGTGCAACTGAAGAACAACCTGACATACCAGTCTCTTATCAACAGAAGAAGAGAATGATCAAATCAATCAGAATGCCACCGAAACTGGCACAAGATGATTACCATATTATGGACAGACCAGAGCAAGTCATTATCCTTCGCCTTAGAACAGGGCACAATCGACTTCGCTGCCACATGTACAACAAATTTAAGATTGGCCAATCAGCCATGTGTACTTGTGGACTGGCACCTGAAACAACAGATCACATCCTTCAAGACTGTCCCAGATTCAACGCTTTCAGACAAAACCTTTGGCCAAAAGAGACACTTATGGAAGTCAAACTTTACAGGCCGCTTAGTGAATTACAAAAGTGAAATTCATACTAGAGACAGCATTGCAGATATAGATAATTTATTTCATGCGAACGAAAGAAGAAGAATCACGGGTGTCAGGGGTCAATTCAATCACGGGTGTCAGGGGTCAGTTAAATCACAGGTGTCAGGGGTCCTTTCAATCACGGGTGTCAGGAGTCAGTTTAATCACAAGTGTCAGGAGTCAGTCTCACAAACTATTTTGTTACAAAACATTTCTAGGTAAGAACTCTGATGGTAGAGTTAGTCACCTCACCTGGAAATATCACTCTGGTGGAAGAGATCGGTTTCCTCACCTGTAAATATCACTCTGGTGTGTAGAGATTGATTCCCTTACCTGGAAATATCACTCTGGTGTGTAGAGATTGATTCCCTTACCTGGAAATATCACTCTGGTGTGTAGAGATTGATTCCCCCACCTGGAAATATCACTCTGGTGTGTAGAGATTGATTCCCCCAACTGGAAACATCACTCTGGTGTGTGGAGATTGATTTCCTCACCTGTAACTATCACTCTGGTGTGTAGAGATTGATTCCCTTACCTGGAAATATCACTTTGGTGTGTAGAGATTGATTCCCTCACCTGGAAATATCACTCTGGTGTGTAGAGATTGATTCCCCCACCTGGAAATATCACTCTGGTGTGTAGAGATTGATTTCATTACCTGGAAATATCACTTTGGTGTGTAGAGATTGATTCCCTCACCTGGAAATATCACTCTGGTGTGTAGAGATTGATTCCCTCACCTAGAAATATCACTTTGGTGTGTAGAGATTGATTCCCTCACCTAGAAATATCACTCTGGTGTGTAGAGATTGATTCCCTCACCTAGAAATATCACTCTGGTGGTTGAGATTGATTCCCTCAACTGAAAACAAATTCTTCATTACCAAACCTAGAAATATCCCTCAGGTGTGTAGACATTGATTCCCTCACCTAGAAATATCACTCTGGTGGTAGAGATTGGTTACCTCACCTGGAAATATCACTTTGGTGTGTAGAGATTGATTCCCTCAACTGAAAACAAATTCTTCATTGCCTTACCTAGAAACATCACTCTGGTGTGTAGAGATTGATTCCCTCACCTGTTAACTATCACTCTGGTGTGTAGAGATTGATTCCCTCACCTGAAAATATCACTCTGGTGTGTAGAGATTGATTCCCTCACCTGTAACTATCACTCTGGTGTGTAGAGATTGATTCCCTCACCTGTAACTATCACTCTGGTGTGTAGAGATTGATTCCCTCACCTGTAACTATCACTCTGGTGTGTAGAGATTGATTCCCTTACCTGGAAATATCACTCTGGTGTGTAGAGATAGATTCCATCACCTGGAAATATCACTCTGGTGTGTAGAGATTGATTCCCTTACCTGGAAATATCACTCTGGTGTGTAGAGATTGATTTCCTTACCTGGAAATATCACTTTGGTGTGTAGAGATTGATTTCCTCACCTGTAAATATCACTCTGGTATGTAGAGATTGATTCCCTCACCTGTAAATATCACTCTGGTGTGTAGAGATTGATTCCCTCAACTGAAAACAAATTTTTCATTGCCTTACCGAGAAATATCCCTCTGGTGTGTAGAGATTGATTCCCTCACCTAGAAATATCACTCTGGTGCTAGAGATTGGTTCCTTCACCTGGAAATATCACTTTGGTGTGTAGAGATTGATTCCCTTAACTTAAAACAAATTCTTCATAGCCTTACCTAGAAACATCACTCTGATGTGTAGAGATTGATTCGCCTTACCTGGAAATATCACTCTGGTGTGTAGAGATTGATTCCCTCGCCTGGAAATATCACTCTGGTGTGTAGAGATTGATTCCCTCACCTAGAAATATCACTTTGGTGTGTAGAGATTGATTCCCTCACCTAGAAATATCACTCTGGTGTGTAGAGATTGATTCCCTCACCTGGAAATATCACTCTGGTGATTGAGATTGATTCCCTCAACTGAAAACAAATTCTTCATTACCAAACCTAGAAATATCCCTCAGGTGTGTAGACATTGATTCCCTCACCTAGAAATATCACTCTGGTGGTAGAGATTGGTTACCTCACCTGGAAATATCACTTTGGTGTGTAGAGGTTGATTCCCTCAACTGAAAACAAATTCTTCATTGCCTTACCTAGAAACATCACTCTGGTGTGTAGAGATTGATTCCCTCACCTGTAACTATCACTCTGGTGTGTAGAGATTGATTCCCTCACCTGGAAATATCACTCTGGTGTGTAGAGATTGATTCCCTCACCTGTAACTATCACTCTGGTGTGTAGAGATTGATTCCCTCACATGTAACTATCACTCTGGTGTGTAGAGATTGATTCCCTCACCTGTAACTATCACTCTGGTGTGTAGAGATTGATTCCCCCACCTGGAAATATCACTCTGGTGTGTAGAGATTGATTCCCTTACCTGGAAATATCACTCTGGTGTGTAGAGATAGATTCCATCACCTGGAAATATCACTCTGGTGTGTAGAGATTGATTCCCTTACCTGGAAATATCACTCTGGTGTGTAGAGATTGATTTCCTTACCTGGAAATATCACTTTGGTGTGTAGAGATTGATTTCCTCACCTGTAAATATCACTCTGGTATGTAGAGATTGATTCCCTCACCTGTAAATATCACTCTGGTGTGTAGAGATTGATTCCCTCAACTGAAAACAAATTTTTCATTGCCTTACCGAGAAATATCCCTCTGGTGTGTAGAGATTGATTCCCTCACCTAGAAATATCACTCTGGTGCTAGAGATTGGTTCCTTCACCTGGAAATATCACTTTGGTGTGTAGAGATTTATTCCCTTAACTTAAAACAAATTCTTCATTGCCTTACCTAGAAACATCACTCTGGTGTGTAGAGATTGATTCCCTTACCTGGAAATATCACTCTGGTGTGTAGAGATTGATTCCCTCACCTGGAAATATCACTCTGGTGTGTAGAGATTGATTCCCTCACCTGTAACTATCACTCTGGTGTGTAGAGATTGATTCCCTCACATGTAACTATCACTCTGGTGTGTAGAGATTGATTCCCTCACCTGTAACTATCACTCTGGTGTGTAGAGATTGATTCCCCCACCTGGAAATATCACTCTGGTGTGTAGAGATTGATTCCCTTACCTGGAAATATCACTCTGGTGTGTAGAGATAGATTCCATCACCTGGAAATATCACTCTGGTGTGTAGAGATTGATTCCCTTACCTGGAAATATCACTCTGGTGTGTAGAGATTGATTTCCTTACCTGGAAATATCACTTTGGTGTGTAGAGATTGATTTCCTCACCTGTAAATATCACTCTGGTATGTAGAGATTGATTCCCTCACCTGTAAATATCACTCTGGTGTGTAGAGATTGATTCCCTCAACTGAAAACAAATTTTTCATTGCCTTACCGAGAAATATCCCTCTGGTGTGTAGAGATTGATTCCCTCACCTAGAAATATCACTCTGGGTGCTAGAGATTGGTTCCTTCACCTGGAAATATCACTTTGGTGTGTAGAGATTTATTCCCTTAACTTAAAACAAATTCTTCATTGCCTTACCTAGAAACATCACTCTGATGTGTAGAGATTGATTCCCTTACCTGGAAATATCACTCTGGTGTGTAGAGATTGATTCCCTCACCTGGAAATATCACTCTGGTGTGTAGAGATTGATTCCCTCACCTAGAAATATCACTCTGGTGGTAGAGATTGATTCCCTCACCTGGAAATACATTCTTCCGCGAACTGACACAAACACAGCAGACTTGGGACGTGGCGCTCCTGTGCAGGTTGAGGCAGCAACTGTTTCACCAGCTTTACTAGGTAGGGGGCACTCATCATCACAGTCAGCCGTTCCGACAGGGACATCTGAGGAGAGTCACAAGTGCAACCACTGTAAAAGGTTTGATGACAGTGACAGAGTAGAATCCTCTTGTTTTCATATCAATATGGGTGACAGATAAGTGCAGACATGAAGTCAATGACGCGCTGTGGACAGGAACAAGTGCCTTGCATGTGTGCCATGTGCCGAGTCTAGGTTTGGGTACGAAGGAGTATGAGGAATAATTCATATAGTGTCATAGTTCAGTCACTGTGGTATCGTCCATCAACAGCATGGTCATCGAAGTATCATCTCCACCCAGATCTTAGTCACTGATCAATTTCACATACATAACTTAGCGAGTGATCCTTCAGCTTAGTCTATGAGATATCGATTCTGCCCCCTTAACTTAGTCTATGAGATATCGATTCTGCCCTTAACTTAGTCTATGAGATATCACTTCTAATCTTAATTCAGTCTGTGAGGTGTCTATAACCAGCTCACCAGGGATTCCTTTAACTTATTCAGATTAGTTGTATCTTTATTTTTCCCACCCCTCAGTTTCACTTACAGACACAGAAACAGTTTCACTGATAGTGTCAAGTTCACCCATAATATCTGTTTGTGTAGTAGTGTTAATGGAAACACTATTGAACACAGCAATTGTTATTTTTAATGATGCACTCTTGTCTTTCAGTTGTTTTATTTCTTTTCTATGAAGTTCGCTTTCTGTTTTAAATGACGCCATGATGTTTGAAGAACTTACAGAAATACAAAGCCTCAGCCTGTCCTCCACTGACTGAATTAGTTCACTACAGGCGATGTTTTTATGAGCTGCTCGGTTGTCAAAAAAGGCAAATGGTCACAGGAATGTTTTCAGTTTCAGTTAATTAGAGAAAAGTTTCTATCACAGTCATGTGACGGTCAAACACTACCTGTTGAAATGTCACTAGTGTTCGAAATGTGTCGCATTTCAGACATTACAGTAAAAATTAACGTAGGGGAAGAGCAGCTGGCACTGCTGCCAATGCAATTTGTGTGTGAAAAACCCAGTATAGCTGAACAAAAACCTAAACAATACATAGACAAAGAACAAGTCACTCACTCACTCAAAAAATATTTCTTTAAGGCGTCATATATACACCCAGACCTGGGGGGAAAGGGTGGGGGGGGGGGGGGACCCTAAAATGTCCAATTCGGTCCGCCAATATCTGCTTCCTGTCCTGTTTAGGATGAAATTTTTCGTTATTTGAAGCCCTACTCTGACTTTGCCAGGGGCCGCAATGTAGCGTGGCCATAAATATGGCCTAAAGGCTGAACGCGGTTTCTGGGACCTCTCCACGGTGATCCTCACCCACATGGTGGCACATTGTGTCGTCGGGTGTTTATTGCTTGTGTGATGTCCTGGTGGGGTACAAAGTCAGTCAGTCGGGAACCCTCAGTATTTGTAGCCATGGCAGCTGGTACAACAACGATTCCTGTGTTTAGATGGCGTGCTTTAGCTCTTGTCAAGTCTATATTTAGTTTCTGGCCTCGCATGGTCGTTGTGCTCTTGCGTAAACTAGAGGCCATTTATTTTCAGATGGACAGTTTGCTCCATTGATTCTTCGTTTACTACTACAATGCACAAGGCTGGGTTAACAATGGCTATCAAAGACTGGTGAACTAAGAGCTCCGTGTCTTTACCATGTGGTTTCAAGAATAAGTCCACATGTCAACACAACACTGTTCAATACAATTACCCAGGTATAGTTTCACGGTAAATCCCGGAAAATGACGAATGCAATATGTCGAAACTTCTGAGTTCCTTTATCAAAACCTGGTTTGAAATGTATAGGCTACATTTGGGAGCGCCGTGAAAACACGCCTCGAACGTGAACGGAGAAGAAGAAGAAGAAGAAGAAGAAGAGAGAGAGAGAGAGTATGTGTAAAAGAAAGAGAATGTGTGAAGAAAGAGAGAGAGTGTGTGTATGTGCGAAGTAAGAGAGAGTGTGTGTGAAGAAAGAGAGGGAATGTAAATAAATATGTGTGTGAAGAAAGACTGTGTGTGTGTGTGAAGAAAGAGAGAGTGTATATGAGTGAAGAAAGAGCAAGTGTGTACGTGTGTGTAAGTGTGAAGAAAGAGAGAGAGAGTATATTTGTGCATGTGTGTGTGTGTGTGTGTGTGTGTGTGTGTGGTACAGCTGGGAATGATCAGGGAAGAAGGAATAGATCATCATGGTGGCGAGAGAGTGGTACAGCTGGGAATGACCAAGGAAGAAGGAATAGATCATCATGGTGGCCAGAGAGTAGTACAGCTGGGAATGACCAGGGAAGAATAGATCATCATGTGGCGAGAGAGTGGTACAGCTGGGAATGACCAGGGAAGAAGGAATAGATCATCATGTGGCCAGAGAGTAGTACAGCTGGGAATGACCAGGGAAGAAGGAATAGATCATCATGTGGCGAGAGAGTAGTACAGCTGGGAATGACCAGGGAAGAAGGAATAGATCATCATGAGGCCAGAGAGTAGTACAGCTGGGAATGACCAGGGAAGAATGAATAGATCATCATGGTGGCCAGAGAGTAGTACAGCTGGGAATGACCAGGGAAGAAGGAATAGATCATCATGTGGCCAGAGAGTAGTACAGCTGGGAATGACCAGGGAAGAAGGAATAGATCATCATGTGGCGAGAGAGTAGTACAGCTGGGAATGACCAGGGAAGAAGGAATAGATCATCATGTGGCGAGAGAGTGGTATAGCTGGGAATGACCAGGGAAGAAGGAATAGATCATCATGTGGCGAGAGAGTAGTACAGCTGGGAATGACCAGGGAAGAAGGAATAGATCATCATGAGGTGAGAGAGTGGTACAGCTGGGAATGA